TACAATATGCAAATTAAATTAAGCAGAACAATAAGGCAATCAAAATTTCCATGAAAACTGTAGTCATTTGATAAATATGTTTTTTTCTAAATCGTATCATTATCGCTAAAATGAGGATTAGCTATTTAGAAAATTGGATTAAAATGTATTACTATTTTTAATTTCACAAATAAAAGCAATGTAACCTTGTTCAGAGTAGCAGCAGCGAGCGTTGCGATGCGATATCGTTGTTACCAAACTCAAACGTTTAGAGTAAGAGCGTCCAATGATAGCGATGCGATATCTAAAATATAAATCGCGTCGTTTATTTATTACAATTTATCTTTTCTGTCCAACACTTCATTTCAATCCTCTTGTTCTTCGATAAACTCTTGCTATTTATATAAAGCCAGCTCTGTAAAGCCGAGAGAGTTCTGGCTCTCGGCTTTCCAGAACAATCGAAAACTGCCTTTCTATGACTCATACCCCGCACCACGATCATTCTGGCAATTTCGAGAGGTGATGCGTTTGTCTCTATATGGCCACGTTAAGGCGGGTACAGATCTCAGCACGTACGCGCATGAGGCAAGCCGAGGCCGAACCGAATGCCAGGTGCGACGCATTTTGTATACACGAATGGTGGACGCACGAGGCGCTATTCGTCACTGATCCAATAAATTCGCGAGCACACAACCGTACATTCGTAAAATTAAAACAAAAATGAAGAAGGAGGAGGACGTCGCGGAGTTGAGTGCATGTTCTATTATTTTATCCGACACATTAAAGAAAAAATGTGAGAAAGGAATCGATGGCCGATTTCCTGCCAAGGATATTATTTTTTTATGGTGTTCTAATAGAACTGGCGTTTTGCTCTCTTAATATATCACACTGCTTATTTAAATCCAGGAGAAGTCAAACGTTTTCTTGGTTCCACTTCATGCAAAATAAATCCTAAAAACTCGATATAATCTGTACGTTGCTGTATGAGCACGTACTGCGCATTGCCTCCCTTCAATGTACCGCCAACAAATGGATCGGGGCGAGGCCGTACGGCGCACACAACGAGGCAATTTGCCGCACCTCGCAAGCCCGTACACATCTGCATGCTCATGCGTCCTCGGCTTGCCTCATACGCGTACGTGCTCAGATCTGTACCCACCTTTAAGGCGGGTACTGTTCGCTACTGATCCAGTGAATTCGCAAGCACGGAACCGTACACCCATGACACTCGTAAAATTAAAAAATGGAGGTCTGGTAGTTGAGTGCCTGTTTTATTATTTTGTCTTGCTCTCCATAAAATATTTCGCTGATTATATACATTCAGGAGAAGCAAAACCTATTCCTGGCTCCACTTCACGAAAATAAACCTTGAAAACTGGCTATAATATATTCGGTGCAAATTCGCCGTCCAGACTGAGCACGTACTGCGCATTGCCTCCCTTTGATGTACCGCCAACAAACGGATCGGGCGAGACCGCACGGGCAATTTGCCGCCCCTCGGAAGCTCGTTCACATCTGCATGCTCATGCGTCCTCAGCTTGCCTCATACGCGTACGTGTTCAGATCTGTACCTCCCTTTAGACTTCCTGTCGAGGTATGGTAATAAACAAAGCACAGGGTTGGGTTTGCGCGTCAGTATGTCGATCATACTGGTTGAGTGGAAGAGCAAAACTCTGATTTTTAGTAGAGATTTTGATCTCTGTTATTTGGCCAACTATTTGTATTTATATATTTTTTGTTTCTTTGTATTAGGTAAGTACTTACTTTGGCCAATAAAAGCATTTATACTTATTATATTCGTAATATACCTATAACTATATAGTTTTTTTAAGGAATTTATATTCCAAAGTATTAATACGTGTTTAGGACAGATAATTATTTAAGTTGAACTTATCGATAATTGGTTAATTTGGAAAGTAATAATCGAAGGTAATACCGCAAGATATAAGAATTTTTGGAGAACACTTTGTTGTTTCTTTGAAAATTTGCATATTTTTAAGGACGCAAAAAATGTTCTGTATGTACCCAGTAAACCACAAATACGAGTAGTTGGCATTCGCTCGGCCTAACACCGGCATGTACGGGAAGCCGAGTACTCGGATTGCCGTTGTCGGTGTTTCTTCTGAGCCGGTAGGACCGAACCATTTGACGTAATTTAGAAGTAGAAACCACATATGGTCCATATTTGGCGTTCCAGACATGGGAAGCATCCTTACGAGCCGAACGCGATTAATATTTGGCTAGCCGGGCATGGGAGGCATCCTTACGGGCCGAATTAAATGTGCTTCTCAAAAGTCGCCCCCCCCCTCTTTTCTTTTGAACGGTGATACTTAAACTGATGAAATTTGGAGGGTGAAAATGAACTATTGTAAGCTTCTCTACTAGTGGTAACAGGTGACGTAATAGGCATCAGTGACGTGACCAGGCAACTGAAACCAATAATATTAAATGGGACCTTATATCAAGTGACACCTCGTTTGAAAGGTATTAAGAATATCTATTCAATCATACTATTTTTTTGGATTTACGATGTTTTTGATGGTTAAGATAAAGTCCCATTTAATATTATTGGTTTCAAGGCCTATTACGTCACCTATTATTACTAGTAGAGAAGCTTACAATAGTTCATTTTCAGCCCCCAAATTTCATCAGTCTAAGTATCACCGTTCAAAAGAAAAAGAGGGGAGAGGGGACTTTTGAGAAGCACTGTATAGATACATGAATGCAGCTATAATTTAGTGGGCTGCCGACATTTGGCTGAGTGGACACGCGCTACCTATATGCCGAAACCACACCCGTATATCGGGCCGAGTCCGGCATCCGGCAAACCTCCTTCGGCCCAGTTACAAGAAAATTTGAATTATTTGAAAACTACACACAAATGAAAAAGAGTAAGAAACAAATTGAAAACAAAACAAAAAATGAAATATAAAAAATGTTCAAAGTGACGCCCATTTTGTTCTAAACACAACTGAACTCGTTTTTCAAAGGATCGTTTCACTTTGAGAAGAATTTCTCCAGTTACTGTCTGAAAAGCAGCTCTTATTCTAGCTTTCATATCTTCCGGAGTAGTTGGTAGGGTATTATAAACTATACTTTGTATGTGTCCCCATAAAAAAAATCCAACGACGTCAAGTCTGGAGATCTTGGAGGCCAATTATATGGACCACCTCTTCCTATCCATTTATTAACAAAACGCCGGTTTAAGTATCGCTGTACTCGAAGTTGAAAATGTGAAAAGTCACATTTTCTGCCTAGTATTTTAAGCACATTATCAAGGAGCCCAGATAATTTTCTCCGTAAAAATTTTAAACATTTTCTGCCATTAAGATGACCGGTAAAAAATAAGGACCAATAACATGTAAACCTAATATTCCTCCCCACACATTCAAGGATCACCTATGCTGATGATCGAGAGGATTTTATCACTATAATAATGAAACTTATGGCGATTAATGAGTCCATTATTATGGAACGTGCACTCGTCCGAAAACAGAACATTATCAAAAAAATCCGCATATAGTTCTACTTTATCCATAACCCATAAACAAAAATCGATTCTTGGTTGAAAGTCTCTTTGATACAATTCTTGGTGCAGCTGTATCTTATAAAGATGAAATTTATGTTTTTTTTATATTCGTCCAATCCTACTCATTCCAGTTTCTCTACTAATAGCCCGATGACTTGTGTGTGGGTTTTGTATTAGTTAGACAATAACCCTAAATTCATTATCATGTACTCCTACAACAGGAAAACAGAATAATTTTTTTATAATCTACGTTTTTGCTAACTTTAAACTGTTGTAGTAATCTTTCAAAAGCACGTCTGTCAGGTTTCTCTAGATCTAGGTATTTTTGGCCGTAAACTCTAGAAGCCAATAAACAGTTTTCGTGACACTCACTAAGAACAAGCATCATATCAATTCTCTCTGCTTTAGAATAAGTTTTCATGTTTCAAATTCGATTTTTCGTACATTTGATATCTAACTTACTAAATAGAAATGTCAAACTCGCATTTGACATTTAAATTCAATGGTCACTTTGATGGGAAAGAGTATTTACAAAAATTAGCTATGTTAAACATAAAAACAGATATTTACTAAAAGACCGTTAGGTATAGGAAAATCTTATATGGAATGAAAGATAATTTAAATGTAAAAATCGTTGAATTTATTGAATTTAGGTATAGGGGTTGAATTTAGGTATAGGGAAATCTTATATGGAATGAAAGATAATTTAAATGTCTATCAGTATAAGTTATTAAATACAGGGTGTACTATTTAAAATAAGAATATTATTCAACTCCATATGTAAGTTGAATTCAATTAGACTAAATGTATGATGTAATGGAAAAATTTGCATTTTATTCGATAGTCTAATATCTTGGCTAAGCATATCGCAGGTGACTGTTGATGTGTTTTAAATAACCGCTACATACTAGATTATGTTGTTCAAGCTTACAAATTAAGAATCCTTTAAATGTTTCAAAAACGAAAAAGATAGGTATAGGAAACATTACAAAAACTTTACTTTATTTTTTCCGGGGAATCAAAAGACATCATCAAATATAGGGTGTCCCCTTAAAAAAAACATAACTCTGATATAAATTCCTATTTTTGGGTTACCCTGTATAATTTAAATTATTTTTAATTTGTAGTGTTAATGGCCTTGTATATTCCTATTAAGAAAAAAAAAATCAAATTTTGTCGTTTTTCTTTGAGAGACCGATGCGTATAGGATGCGCCACCCTGTATATTAAAATTATATGCGGTACAGATTTTCTGTTTATTTATCTTTGGAGTAATTTAACCACTTTAAGGAATGTTCTTACGCTATGTTATTATTTTAAATCTCTAAATGTCAAACTATGTTTATTTTACTTTGGAGATGTGTACATATTGTTTGAGAGAAGATCGTAATTTGACTTATAATGATGAAGTTGCTAAACGCTAAGCTATAGGCAAATAATAATAAATTTCAAACATATTTACTTTAAATTTGAAATAAAATGTTTTGTTACAGACCTCAAGTCTCGGGATGGAAGTTTTGGCGTATGAGAAGGTATGTCGTGGCTGTTCTAGCTTTCTTCGGATTCTTTACATCTTACGCATTAAGAGTAAATTTAAGTATAGCTATAGTAGCAATGACAGAATTTAGAAATGTTACTTTGGAAAATGGAACTGTTACTAGGGTAAGTATACAGTAAGTCCAATGAGTTCAATAAGTTCAATAAGTTCAATAAGTTCATTAAGTTCAATAAGTTCAATAAGTTCAATAAGTTCAATAAGTTCAATAAGTTCAATAAGTTCAATAAGTTCAATAAGTTCAATAAGTTCAATAAGTTCAATAAGTTCAATAAGTTCAATAAGTTCAATAAGTTCAATAAGTTCAATAAGTTCAATAAGTTCAATAAGTTCAATAAGTTCAATAAGTTCAATAAGTTCAATAAGTTCAATAAGTTCAATAAGTTCAATAAGTTCAATAAGTTCAATAAGTTCAATAAGTTCAATAAGTTCAATAAGTTCAATAAGTTCAATAAGTTCAATAAGTTCAATAAATTCAATAAGTTCAATAAGTTCAATAAGTTCAATAAGTTCAATAAGTTCAATAAGTTCAATAAGTTCAATAAGTTCAATAAGTTCAATAAGTTCAATAAGTTCAATAAGTTCAATAAGTTCAATAAGTTCAATAAGTTCAATAAGTTCAATAAGTTCAATAAGTTCAATAAGTTCAATAAGTTCAATAAGTTCAATAAGTTCAATAAGTTCAATAAGTTCAATAAGTTCAATAAGTTCAATAAGTTCAATAAGTTCAATAAGTTCAATAAGTTCAATAAGTTCAATAAGTTCAATAAGTTCAATAAGTTCAATAAGTTCAATAAGTTCAATAAGTTCAATAAGTTCAATAAGTTCAATAAGTTCAATAAGTTCAATAAGTTCAATAAATTCAATAAGTTCAATAAGTTCAATAAGTTCAATAAGTTCAATAAGTTCAATAAGTTCAATAAGTTCAATAAGTTCAATAAGTTCAATAAGTTCAATAAGTTCAATAAGTTCAATAAGTTCAATAAGTTCAATAAGTTCAATAAGTTCAATAAGTTCAATAAGTTCAATAAGTTCAATAAGTTCAATAAGTTCAATAAGTTCAATAAGTTCAATAAGTTCAATAAGTTCAATAAGTTCAATAAGTTCAATAAGTTCAATAAGTTCAATAAGTTCAATAAGTTCAATAAGTTCAATAAGTTCAATAAGTTCAATAAGTTCAATAAGTTCAATAAGTTCAATAAGTTCAATAAGTTCAATAAGTTCAATAAGTTCAATAAGTTCAATAAGTTCAATAAGTTCAATAAGTTCAATAAGTTCAATAAGTTCAATAAGTTCAATAAGTTCAATAAGTTCAATAAGTTCAATAAGTTCAATAAGTTCAATAAGTTCAATAAGTTCAATAAGTTCAATAAGTTCAATAAGTTGGGAATAACATTGGGATCGGTGCGATATCTTCCCGTCTATTTTTAATTAATCTATCAATGATGAACCACAGAATAGGTCAACTATAAAGAATGGAAGGTAACGGTCGGCACTTTGCAGTAGAAGGGATAGAAATCTCTAGACATTCAGCTCCACCATTGATATACTCCGAGAAAACTATGCCCGCGGACTAAACTATTTATTGGATCTACACAAAAACTACATTTACTTCTATTGTACTTTGACAATGTTTCACTGTCAATAACGCGTGGCTACATTGGTTATGGTTTTTTTGAATGTGTATGTTTCTTTTCTGTATTGTTTATCTATTCTGAGGATAAAAAAGGTTGTCTTTTTACTCAATGTTTTCGCAATCGAAGTAACATCAATAATTAATCAATTTCAATACATGGTTTTTTCGATTACATGTGATAAATGACAGTTGGATGACGGAATTGAGGAGTTAATAAATTATTTATTTGTTAGATTGTTGGAAAAACCGAAAACAATAGTCTTCTAGATAAATACTTTAAAATTTATTAAAATAAAATAAAAAACAAAAATCTATTGAACAATCTACACGCCAGAACTGTCAAATGTCATCTCATTCAACGATCAACCCCTCACATAAAACAATTCGAGCACAAGCCATTAAAGGTTGCACAGCGATTCCAACAAATTGTTGGAGAAATAACAGCAAATTTAGGAGTACATCAAAATGACGACTCTACTAATAAATATTTTTATTAGCAAATCACTCTATTTAGATCTAATAAATATAATAATAATAGCAATAGGTAATATCAATAGTTTCGAAACACCTAAAATGCTTGTTAAATTGGAAAAGTAAACATACTTTTGTTTTGTTTAGTAAATGATAATGAACAAAATCAATAAATCCACAGTGAAAAGAATTTTAAATATTTTATCAAAAAATTAAATAAATTATGTAGGTTGTAGATACATAGTACAAAGGTGATGAAGTAGGTACCATGAATTTACATTGGTTAAACCACACCAAGTCTATAGGCTGCAGCATTCTTGTTTAAAATACTTCATACCATCATAGAGAAATGTCCCAAGATGCCTGAGTTTTAGTGGAATAATTTTTTTTTAAATATCTTTATTATCTATACTTTATCACCACTCACATCAGGCAGAAATAACTTTTGCATGTAAAGAGGGGATGATAAGTTGACCACGCATCACTTAAGCTTCACTAGGCCTGTTGTGCATTGTAACAACCGGGAAGTCTAAAGACCAATTATTGTAACTATTGATAGGTCTTTAGCTACTGTTGTTAATATACTATTAAGGGATTAAGGTAGCACTGTAACCAGCCAAAGGGTCCTGGAATCCAGAAGGAACATCCATTTACCAGTGGCAAATAAAAATAATAAAAAAATTAAATTAAGAAAACAAAAATGATCCCTTAATAGCATAGTCGAGCGGTTCTTGGCAACTAGTTTTAGAATCTTTTAGTACTAAGGGAATAGAAGCGCCGAGGTTTCTCAAATGCTCGGAATATTTTCCTGGTTTTAAAAGGCGGATGAGAGATTAATAATAAGTTTTAAAAAATTAACAAATGTATATTTAAAATAAGTACAAAATTAACCTATAATCTAACGAAATTAATTAATCAAATTATATTTAGAGAATAAAGCACTATTTGATAATATATCCAAACTTTAAATAAAGATTTATGACAACTTGATAAACATTTTATTGAATTATAAGTTTGGACTTATTAACAACTAAAAATAGCACTGGAAACCTTAGATATATAATAATTTAAAATTTATATAAGATAAATATGATAATCGGGACGAAAATGTAAAATTGGCATTTATATGTAAATCAATTTATTATTATCAATCAAAACACTTTAAAAATAAGTTAAAGATATTTATCTATATTACACAATCGCTGAACAAAAACTTTACTCTACAAATTACTTTGTTTCGGGACATAGCGTCCCGAAACAAGAGTTTAGGACCGCAATCCTTACTCCCCAAGTCTTTTTCTTTCTGTAAAGTCTCTCTATATAAACCCAAAATTTACGTGATAGTAGTACTTGTTAGAATGCCCACGTTTTACTTTGAATTGCCTAGTTCAATGTAAGCCATTGACTGGAGAAATAACCTGATTATTTGTTTTATTTCCGTTTAAATTTTTAATTTAAATCATTAAAAATACTTTTTTGAAGTTTTGGTAAATTCTTTATATTTTCCAATAATAATGCCAATTATTACATCATCCTCTATAGACTACCTCTCAGCTCGCCAAGAGGTGTCTCTCTTGATGCTCAAATTATTTTAGAGTGGCCTTTTACGATAGGCAGATGCGCAATTTTATTTGAAATGAAGTGGCTATTTGGAGGGCTTCTATCGTGGGGAATGACAAATGCCCGGTAAACACATTCTTCCCGCCCGATCCACAGGGCTTGTGTCACTTGTTAATTTCTCCTATATAAATATATTTTTTCTTTAAAAATATGTAAAGATATTTTCGTTTATTTTTTTAGGTAAGAGATTTTGATTGGGACACAAAGCTTCAAGGATACATACTCAGCTCATTCTTCTACGGCTATATAACAACACAACTTCTCGGAGGATATTTAGCATCCAGAATTGGCGGAAAAAGAGTTTTTGGTGCAGGTATAGCAGTTACAGCATTATTAACTTTGGTAACCCCTTGGATAGCACAAACCAGCGTATATCTTCTGCTGGCAGTCAGAATTATAGAAGGTATTTTTGAGGTTTGTGGTATTTGTATTGTATGTTAGCTCTGCATGGCTACAGGCATAAACTTTACGCCTTTAGTTGTCAGGTATTTTGGTAATGTCTTTCATCATTCCATCATATAAAGTTATATATTAACTTATTAAAACATGCCTTAGACCTATTCAAGTATATGACTTTTAATGGAAAATGTCTTAGTGAACCTAAAAAAATAGCAGAAACTTTTGAAGACTCTTTTGAATCGTGTAATAGTGACCATTCCATTATTGACGAGGAAAATATACCTATAATTCTACCATTCATCGACAACTTAGACTCATACCATTTTTCAGTCAATGATGTTGCAAAAAGAATGCTTAAAATTCTAATAAAGCATTACGTCCTGATGGAATATCAACTCTATTCAAGAAGAAATGCTACAATTCTCTTGGCGATCCACTGTGTCGTATATTTCGAAAATCACTGGATATAGGTATTTTCCCTTCGATTTGGAAAGAGTCAGGCTCTTTTTATTTTATTTTATTTAAATCAGGCGAAAAAACATTTCCTTGTTGCCAGCCACTCCCAAAATTTTTGAGTCAATTCTTGCTGATGAAGTCTTTAAGGCTAATAGGCATTATATTGTTAAAGAGTATACACGGATTCTTTAGAAGGCGTAGTACTTGCATGAATTTATCTTTTATTAAGATTTTCTCTAATTAATTCAATAGTCCGGACAGCAAGTTGATGTAATATACACAGATATGTCAAAGATATTTGATAGTGTCTATCACACTCTCTTACTTGCCATTGGTATTAACTGTTGAAGTTAAATCTGCTAATCTCTCAGTTTGATAACGTGTGTGGTATTGTTTCACGAAAAAACAAAGTTAAATCTGATGAACCCCAAGGACCACATATCGGTCTCTATTTTTAAATGATATAGTTAATTCCTTTAATCATTCACTGTGTTTGTTATACGCAGACGATCTCAAATTCTTTTCAGTTACAAATTCAAACAAATCTGGTAATTTACAGCTTGATGTTAACTCTCTGGTCCAGTGGTGTAATAGAAATTTAATAAAATTTAATGTTAACATGTAAAAGTTTTACTTTTTACAAGTGCTCCAGTCCCATAAGAAATTCATAACATGTCAAAAACGTGATACTGGAATCGGTTCCTTTTTTCAAAGATTTCTTCTGCTTCCTCTTTTTTGGTCTATATACTACAGGATAATTTACCCAGTTTCAAAGATTTCTTGCGAATATTATTTTCCATATAACCTCACGTTTAATGGTCATATTTCTTTAAAGTGCTTCAGACGTCTAGGTTTTATAAAAACACACACTTAACATATAAATGATATTAAAACTATATTAACTCTTTTGAATGTTATGATTAGAAGCATTATAGAAAATGTTGCACAATATGTGATCCGAGTTATACTGTTCACATAAACAGACTGGAAATGGTACAGAATAGGTTCACCAAATATTTTTTATACATATTAAGATTTCCTCTGGTCAACGTACCCTATAAAACCTGATTACTATTGTGTGGTATGAATAGCTTAAAACAATGAATAGCCATATCTTTTTGTATAAAATTCTACATTCTATGATACCAAGTTTTATTAGAAAATGTTTCCTGTGCTTCGTTTAACTAGAAGTCAACAGCTATTTCACGAAAAAACAAGACTAATTATGGCATGTTATATGATAGATATTTTTCAACTTAGTCTAAGAGGACCCAAACAGGCAGTATATTATAAAAAGATTTATATGTGTATATTGTGATCTGGAAACACTCAGTATCCAAAAAATTTTACAAAAAAAATACCCAAATTAAAGTTAAAAAAATCTAGTTTCTAGTTTTTCTTCTGTGCTCCTCAGCTCACTTCTCAATTACCCTTTCTGACATTTCTAAAAATTTTTATCTGACAATTTTTTTTCCTAATAAAAAAATAATACATTCTGATTTTACATTTAATTTAGATTTTTTGGCAACTTCACCTCCCCAGGATAGTCAAAGTTTTCCATATCACATCGCCCAAATTCATCATTTATTTAGTATATTCCTCAAATAAACTAATAACAATGTATTTAATTTTTAAATTTAAATTTAAAGATTAATTACCACTCCCCTGACTATTTATAATTTCCCTCTTTAATTGTTGATCTTACTATTCTTATTATTTATTCATTCAACATAAACTATTTATTGTATCATAATTCACAACTAATCATAACACTTCATAACTATTTATAACTATTGTAACTAACTATTTTAACTCTAATAATTATTCTACCTACCATTTAACTACCATCTCACACTCATACTCGTATCAATTATTATACATACTTAATATCCCCCTCATTTTCTTATCTTCCAACTATTATTTATTACTATTTACCCCATTTTATTTATTATTTGTAACTATTTACCCCTGTTTCAAATGTAGGTGTTCGTTATAAAATTTTAAACTCATAAAAATTGTGTAAAATTGTTATGTGGTACAATGCAAAGTTTATAGTGTTAAATAAACAAATTAGTAGAAGTAATTATTTAAATTTCAACATTCCGAAGCAAGTTATCAAGCAGTTCATTAATAAAATCATACATTCTACATGTTCTACAAATATACAGTCCATCTCGTCTCCCTGTAACAGAAAGAAGAGTTACGAAGAGCGAAAAGAAAAGTATAATCTCACGAAAACCCATTTTAATCCATAATTTACTGATTTTTGTTCTTCCTATTTTTCCTCTCCTATGCTTTCCTCTCTACATAAACCGTTTTATTTTATAATTCATTATGTCCAATCCATTTTTAAATATTCTTCACTCATATTAACTTACATATTCATTTTAAAACATCATCATCATCATAAAGTATTTCCATACACAGTATGTTATAAGACACATTTTCATGAACTATTTTCTTTAACAATCTTTTCACATTATTTATATTCTAGCAATTTCTTTTTTAAAATAATATCTTTTTGAACACTTCTTAATTTTCTTCTTTCATTTGAATACTTTATCCTTTATTTCTCATTTCTCTATAATATCTATAATCGGTATCTTCTATTTTTTCCTTTTTTTCTTTCATATATCCTCTAATTTATTTTCCTTCTTTGCTGTTTAGTTATTCTATATACAATGTACTATGTTCTATTTTCAAATCATTTTCAATGTTCTATTCTTCTTCTAATTTTTATGTTTTTCCGTCCCCTTTAAAATATATATCTTTTCTTTGACTTTAGTCCTGGCTTATCTTTTCCTTAACTTAAGTCCTTACTCTAATTCCTGGCTGTTTTATTTTTGTGTTTCTCTGCTTTATATTTTATTCTTTTGTTTGGCTTAACTTTATTTTTTAGTTATATATTTCTCTTTCCTTTTTAAATTTTGTTTCCTGTCTTCCTTTATCTTCTTACTTACTTTTTTCTTAAATTCTTTTTTATTCATTTTTCTTTTATCTTCGTTGCGACTTCTGTTATAATCTTTGATGTGTTTTCTAATTTCCATTATTTTTTTCTCGATTTCCTCTTTAATTCTTCAATTTTGATTATTCTTTTATTTTGCTTACTGATACATATTTTTTCAATTTCCTTTCCTATCTCTTCTATTTTTTTGCTGAAATATTTTCCCTGAATTTTGTATTTGTCTATTTCTTTTTTATTTTTTTCTTTCAAAAGTCCTTCTTTTTCTTCTTTGCCTTTCTTCTGTTTCTCTTATTAATTCTCCCAATTTCTTTTTAATTGTATCATCATCTGCATCATCTTTTCTATGTCTTCTATTAAAATTTTCTTAATTTCTTCTTTGTCTTCTCGTCTATTTTCCTCCATTTTGTTTATTTGTTGTCTACCTTTTATAATTTTATTTCACATTCCCTCCATTTTGCTCATTATCTGTTCTCTATATTTCTTCAATAATATGTGCAAGATATTCTGTTTTGAATTTGCTTTCTCTTAGTATTCTTCTATCACTGTATTTTCTAACGTTTTTTCATCCATATTTGCGTGTTTTATCTCTCTCACTTCTTTAGATTGTCCCCCATTAAACCAACATTCTTTTCCCCCCTTAAGTCCATTTAATTTTCTCCATTTCTATCTCTTTCACAATTTTAGACTTAACACTTTCACCCACTACTTTTATCTGTTACCTAATTTCAAATTTCAAATTTCAAATTTCAAATTTCAAATTTTCCGATTAATGTTACAAAATCTAATCAAAAAATTCCGTGCCTCACGTTGGCTGGCGACACTTGATAAAGGAACACCACGATATACCCACCTAAAGATAGGATGTTGTGCATCGTGAGCAGTCCTTATTTTGACGTACAAATGAAAATCACTCTGTGAGTGACGTCATAGCATCAGGCAAATAGGATGTTGCGCATCGTGGGCGGTCCTTATTTTGACGTGCAAATGAAAATGACATTACTCTGTGAGTGACGTCATGAGTGTGGCAGACGAAAACTGAACACAAGAGCATACAGTCCTGAGGAAACACCCAGTATCCACAAAATTAATAAAAATCTAGTTTTAGGTCCGAAGTTTGTTGGAACACCAATTCTAGACCGCCAGTACCTAAACCATTTTGTATTAGGTTGGAACAAACCTATAAATTATACATTTGGATGACTACAACGTTTTCCATGTCAATTGTTATTTTTAGCGCTGTTTTACAGACAACTGTATTTGTTCTATTATTTTTGTAATTTTTATAAATAATGTATGCAAGCCATTTGGAATTAATTTTCTGTAATAATAAATATCTATCCATCTACCTTAATGAATAAAAAAATTAATAGTACTAACAAAAATATAGGTATTTGCTTTTGCTTGGGTTATAATATATGTATTATCGGATGTTAATCCCTGCAATATGAATTATTATTAAAAATTAGATTTTGATAATTTATTGAATTTACTTTTAAGGGTGTAACGTATCCATGCATCCACGCCATTTGGGGAAAATGGGCACCTCCCCTTGAAAGAAGCCGTTTAGCTACAATAGCTTTTTCCGGAAGTTACATTGGAACTGTTGTGTCGATGCCTCTATGTTCTATTTTAGCTTCATCGCTAGGATGGGAGAGTATTTTTTATTTTTTCGGTAAGCTCAATTAGTTTTTAAAAATAAACAAAAAAGGAATGCGATCTCACTAAAGGCTCATTTACATTTATAACTTTGAATATTCATCTTGGAGGAATCATTCTAAGTAATAACTTTACAATGCCTTTCATCCAAAGAGCAAAGATGAACGATGATCCCATACCAAGTTTTGACGAAAGAGTCGTTCTCTGACTCAATGATTCATCCAGAGTGAAAGCGCAGTGAAAAATGTAAACACACGGACCGATTATTTCAGTCTCATTTACTATGCAAATCGGTCTTCGTTTATTCTTAAACGATACTTGTACACCTCAGAATTTTTTCTGTCCATTCTCTTAACAGCGTTGACGAAAATCTTAGATTTTCTTTTCTTGAATTTCACCCATCAACTACTTTGAGCACGATATAATTGAGTTGAGTTCATGTTTTAATTCACGTGAAATTAATTCAATACCTCTAATAATCCTTGCACTTCTTCCCGAATATTACATCCTAGCATTTGCCACCTGACACATAATAGACACGAAATGAACAGTGACAGTATTGGTGAAAGTTGAAACCACATAACGCACATAACTGGATGATCATATGTAAACAAGGATGATGTTTTGGATGATTTCACTTTGCGTGATTCACTTTGGATGTACATGAAAAGTGATACAGTGTAAATCCCCTTTAAGAAACCAAATATATGTGTACAATACGTTGTAGAATAACTATTTTATTATTTATATTTTAGGTTCAGTTGGTTTAGTTTGGTGTGGTTTGTGGGCTTGGGTGGTAACTGATTATCCGGAAGACGATCCAAAAATAAGCAAAGAAGAACTACAGTATATAATTAATAGCCTTGAAGTGAAATCCGATAAGAAAACAAAGATACCATGGAGTTCCTTCGTGAAGTCGATGCCAGTTTGGGCTATAACCGTGTCACATTTTAGCGAAAATTGGGGTTTTTATACTATGTTGACGCAGTTGCCTAAATTTATGAAACGTAAGTTCTTTTTACTGCATTCGGTGGATCGCTTATTGGACTAAATCTTCAATTCAATAATTATTAATATTTTAGACGATTTACAGATAATATATGCATGGAGGTAAACTACTATGAAGAGTTCCGTATAAGAAACGTGTCATTAAATGTGACACCACTGGGCGGGGCTTAGAATGATTTCTGAGAAGGGGCGTATTCAGGTCTAATTAAATTTGCATGTACTTGATTTGACCCATTATTTCTTCCTGTACCCTAAATTTGAGTCTGAGTACTACTCTGTATCTGGGAACGGCTCTTTCATAGAACCTTAGCCATTCGGGATAGATCATCCACCTCTTTTGACCCCTTGACTTTTCATGTAAATCACGTATCCAGCTTATTCTCACTGGATGTATTTGGAACCTTAGCCCATTACAGATATATCCTTTCTGGTTTCTCAATTTGAACACTTTGCATGAATTATTCTTTTTCACGATGTGGTCGGATTTGACTTCCACAGACTCAACATGGACCCAATTTCATTTCAATCTCCCTTGGCGATGTCCCATGCCCTCTAAGAGCTTGGTGGTTCTGATTGGCCCTTGATTTAGGATTGGTATGTAGCAGTCCTGGATTGTGGTATGTTTCTTCCCTGTAATCCTTGAGTTTAGTTCATTTTCTGCCATAGATCGTGGAACCTTGAAATTCTCTGGTGCATTTCTGGACTTGGATCTGGATAGCTGTCACAATGACTTCGTAATTGCGCTGGAAACAGTGCTGATGGGTAATTTGGCTACTACTTCCTAATCTAACTTTTTAAATATATATGCATGATACTCTATACCTTATTTACTATATTTATACCACCTGTTAGGTATATATTTCACATTCTCCATTTGTCTTCTTTCAAATTCTTCAACTCCATATGTAGCGCTTCTTGACTTACAGATTTTTGATGGTGCGCCATTAGACTTAAGAGGTCAGACACAACTTCACTTTTATTAACCACAGACCAGTTGTAAGACTATGTAGATATTAAATTGGATTAGAATCTTAGAGTTCTAACCACAGGGCAGTTGTAGGAATTTAGAACCATTAAATTGGACCAGAATTTGTAGTTTTCACTAAGAGTAGTAACCATTACATTGAATTAAATGAATTTTTTCCTTACGCCCAAAATATTTTTTATTTTTGTTTTGTTTTAGGTGTCCTAAACTTTGATCTCAACTCAGCAGGTTTCCTTTCAGCCTTACCATATCTACTAATGGCTATAATGACACAATTTTCCGGTCATTTCGCAGACTGGTTTTTAGTGAAAGGTATCTTGACAACGACGCAAGTCAGAAGGATTTTTAACTGTAGTGGCTTCGTAGCCCAAACAATTTTTATGATGGCCGCCACCTATTGGTTAACACCAGTTGGAGCGACGTTTTGTATATCTATGGCTGTGGGACTCGGCGCTTTTGCGTGGGCAGGATTCAGGTAAATTTTTAAAGAATTCTGAATAACAGTTATTCTATTAGCACTATTCATTCGAAAAGTACTTATAGTTTTCAATACGCTTATGTCAAGTAAAGGTGCGTTTGCTTATTCCTATTAGTGACCCATAGCTGACAATTCAAAAGGATTAAGTGTTAAAAGCACAAAATGAAGAATAAAATACACAACACGCGACTTTGTGAATTATTATTACTATAATAATTAATTTTAATATGTACTAGTCAAACTAACAAACCATAAGTTTCTCTGAATTCCTAGAACTAATCGTTATTCTACAAATTTACCATACTGTGTTCTATGCTTTGTTTAAGTTATTGATATTAAGTATCTTAATATCATATTGGTGTGCTGGTTTAGTTTGATTGTCTGGCTCCATATCTTTAGATTTCAGTTGCAAAACCATAGAAGATTTGATATAAAGTGATCTGGCATTCAGTCAATGTTTCTTCAACAACGAAACCAAGACATAATTTCATCAAAAACCTGGGAATCATCTATTTAATGTATGCTTTAAATGGGAGCTTCTTATTTGTTAGCGAGTTTTTTGTTTTTCATTTACCTTTTTTTCATATTTTCTTTGGAATTTTGTCAGCATTAACTTCGTCAAAATGGTGTCGATCTTCATGCTTTAATTTGATGGTTTCACTGAAATATTTGCTATTTTACAGGTAGTGATTTTTGAGAATAATTTGAAGCTCAGCAGATGCCACTTTTGACATAATGTTGATTGTTTCTTAATTAGATCTTCGTTTTATCGGTCCAATTGTAGGTACATCAGGTCATTAACATTTTGCAACTTGTTCGTCTCAGTATTTATATCGTTTTGTACCACTAATATTAGCTCTGACAGGTCTAAACTGCACAGTAAATAGAAAACGAGTTCTAAGATACTTATTTCATTTCTATCATCTCCAAGTATACTTGTGTTTATTTTATGAAAGATTTGCAGAGTTTTATATATTTAAATTAAATTTGCATTTCTTTTCTTTCAGTATTAATCACCTAGATATTGCTCCGCAATATGCCAGCATTCTTATGGGGTTTGGAAATACTTTTGCAACCATTCCTGGTATTGTAAGTCCAATTTTAACCGGTTATTTGGTAACAGATGAGGTAAGTACAACATATATCTGAAGACCTACTAAAAATATAATTTCCCTTTTCTTTTTTTGGAATTGTTATATTATTCTTAATAAAATGAAACTGGTAGACTCAGATGAGCTAAACCAATAAAGATATTTTAGGTATTTAATTTACTATAGGTCTGTTCCAACAACAATCAGAAACCAATCACTGACACCAGGATTCTGCGCAATAGATAATTTGGCGGTCCCATTAATCTACTGCACATAATCCTGGTGTCAGTGACTGGTTTATTGATCGTTGTTGGAACAGACCTTAATAAAACCTTTTTTCTTCTAATTTTGACATATAAAGTTACATTTTAAAACCTTTCTTGGTTTTAAAATCAATATATACATTATTATTAAAAGTATTTCAAAGAAGGGTAGGTTTTTTATCCTTATTTTCCATTATAAATCAACACACTAGCTATTTATGAAACCAGTTGCGAAATGCCTTATTTTATGTAAAAATAATTAAAACATAATACACGACAAAAGAACCCACTTTCTTGAAAACTAAACAACTTTAGCAAGCAATATAAACACACTACAAGTAATTGAGAATAAATTATTATGTTTTTCTATTTGTCAATAAAATGAATGAAGTTATGCATATGCAACTAACAATTTTATTATTCTGGTCAAAATTATAAAAAATATTGAATGTAACACGTTACGAAATTCCATTTTATGTAACTTGTACATGTTGCAGGACCTCGCTCTGCTCGAATCGCAAATATTCACTCGTAATGTAAAATAAGGCATTTCGTAACTGGTTGAATTAAAAACACTTAATTACTATAAAATATGTTATTTTTAGACAAGTGTGGACGAATGGAGAATAGTATTTTACATATCTTCAGGAATTTACTTATTTGGAGCTGTTTTTTATGGTATTTTTGTTTCTGCTGAACTTCAATCTTGGGCAAAGGAAACTGAGCCACTAAATTCAGACAGAGGTTATTATGGACCTTCAAATGGGCCAAGTGAGCAAACTGGACAAAATGGACAAACTTATTATGAGAATAGGAGTTACCAACATGATAGTTGATGGCTGAAAATGTTTGTTTTAATTTAGTAAAATTAATCTAAAACGTAATACTATTTTCCATCAGTATTTTAGAATTATGTATTATTATTTTAATAACTTCGCAAAGGTTTTGTGGATGGATAATTAAAAAATAAGCTAGGTGTCATATTTGCTGTGATTATGTGATTAAAAATGCATAAATCCATATTGGATCTTTGTTAATTAAAATGAAATATTTATGAAATAAAGTTTTATGACAACTGTTTTTACTTAACGAACAATTGATTTCCCTTATATCATCGATACTTATAAAAATCTGATAATTTATTTTATTTATGTAGAAATTAATTAATACCTAATATTTTTTTCAATTATTATTCAGCGCCTTGCAAGTGAACACTAGAACATTGGTGGTGCCAGGTGAGGATAATTATGGAAACTTTACAAATAAATAAAACACAAAAATACTTTTTAACCGACTTCAAATAAGGAGGAGGTTCTCAAGTCGTCGTAATATTTTTTATGTATGTTCAGCGATAATTATTTAACACGGTGTCCGATTTTAATGATTATTTTTTGTTAGTAAGGGGGTACCTCAGGGGTGGTCTCATATAAATTTGGTTAAGATGTGGTGGTCGCATCTGCACGATTTTGAAGTTGGTTTTTTTTTAATTTTTAATTTTTAATACTTGTACCTACCTATCGTGTACCCAACCAACACCACCCACTTGGATAAAAAAAATTAAGTAGGTACAAAATTAAGTGATTAAAAATTTATTTTAATTTAAAAAAATAAGTAGCTAAGTATTTTGTGTTTTAAATGATAAAAATGTTTCAGATAAAGGAGGTAAATGTTAAATTGGAACATATTACTTACATTTGGTATAAAAAAATTATGTCTGCAAAATTTAGAAATAATTAAAAGAGATAAATAAAATATAAACATTGTATTATAAATATTTTGAATTTTATTCTTGAACTTGAGCTTGAATTCTAAATTACTTATTGTACGATTAATATTTTAAATAAAAATATTTGGCTATATAAATAATCAGATAATAATAATGATGATGATGATGATGATGATGATGACGATGATGATGATGACGACTTTATTCGTGTAAATATTCAGTACAATTAATCATACGAAAATACAATAATACAAAATCACGCGAACATTAATTTAAAAAACAATATGATGAATAAAAGCATATTTTACACATGTTTCGGTAAAATAATATCTTACTGCAAAAAGTGGAACGTCATCTTTTTGCTTGCTATTTGTAGTTAAATATAAGGGAGGGGGGTTAATAACATGTACTATATCCCGATGGTGAGAGCTGTCTTGGGACCTTTTAAAAATGGAAAGTTGCTTATCGATGGATTGCTGCAAAAATATATGGTTCTACACGTCAATAATAATAAAAAATCACTTTTCAAGCATTTTCTTTCGTCCGGTTTTTTTACTTGGTGTATGGATTTCGACCACGTGACTGGATATTTATATTTATCAACAAAATTCGGGATATAGCTTCAACAAATTTTTTCTGAATCCAAGATTATCTGGTAAACATTTTTTTGTGTCGGCGAAAGGCTTAATATGCAAAAAAAAAAATTCGACCTGGCTAAAGTGATATGTTTTTAAAAAAGGTGAAAATTAGAAGAATATTACCTTTGCAGGCATTTGTTATTTAGTAGTTCTACCACATTCAGCCTTTTTTATTTTTCGTTCCCATAACGACGACTATTTTGACATTTTTTTCTTTAAAACCCATCAGAGTGAATGGGTGGAGCTATTGAATAAAAAATCCTTACAGGAGGAATACTCTTACATTTTAGAGTCATACAAAAATTTTGAAAGCAATTGAACCAGTTTCCAACTTTTGGTTTCGATTTTACACCTATTTTAAAAAACAAGTAATTTTCACTAGGTTACAATTTTTTTTTCATATCAACCATTTTGCAGATACAAAAAAATCTTGCAATATCATTTTAGCTTCAGAAAAAAATGCGTTTAAGCTATATCCCAACTTTCGCCGAAAATAGAAAATATCCGGTCACGTGGCCGAAATTTCTACATCGGAAGTAGCAGAACAGGATGACTGAAAATACTTACAAAGGGATTTTTTTAGACGTCTAAAAGCATTGCTAGAAAAATGGAAAGAAATCCATCGATAAGCAATTTTATTTTGAATTTTGAATTTGGGAGATAGTACATGTTGTTCACTCCCTCCATTGTACCCAATTACAAATAGCAATAAAAAAAACGACATTCCACTTTTTTTAGTCATGTGAGGGTCTGCTATAAATTATACAGAGTTAAAATAAGAATATAAAAGAACAAAAAAAATGAAAAAAATGTAAATGATTAAAAACGAACTTAAAAAATGGCAAAAGTTAATAAAGAAACCAGTAACAATTTAATATTTAAATAGTTTTTTAGAGTAACTATATTTTATTACGTAATAAAGAAAACATCATAAAACTTTCTTGTTTGTTCTAAAATATAAGATTTTATTTATTTCAAAATTTGTAACGAGCCATAGAGAATAATCATAATTGGAGTCATATTTCTTAAAATTTTTTATAAAAAAATTAAATGTAAAAAATGGTATTCAACACAGAGTAAAAATCAAAACGTTACTTCTGTAAAGGTGAGAAAGTAAATTTTGTTTTATGGCATATGCTATCTCATTTTAAAAAAAGACACACAGACATGCATACCTACAAGTTGTAATGTTTTTATAAGCTTGCTTCTTTTTTTTTGTTGGTATCATTTCGAGGTAATAAACTTTATTGTTTAAAATGTAATTATTAAGTAATAAATGTCATTCTGTGGAAGTGGCTAAAGTATACCAACCCAAAACATTTCTTTTTCACAGCAAATTCCGATTATGATTTTTTTCTCGATGGCTCTTTACTGGTTTCCAAAACTACTAAGAAACAGGGCTGGTATATCTAAGGATGTCGCGACATAGACCCATTAAATGGATGAGAGGGTGACTGAGGCTAGGGGGGAAATAGTAGTTAGCTTAAGTTGGCAACACTTTTCTGATGTTCGTTTGGCGAAATCCACGGTTATCGTTTGTCCTGCCGTAATAGTATTATAAAAACAGAGACAGATCTACTTTTAACTTTTAACGTGCATCGTGCATAATAATGTCAATATGGTACAAGTGGAATGAACCACTGTTTTCCTCGTAATCGAATTAAAACTAAAAACATTTTGTACTTTTTATATACTAAATTATGTAATTTGTTTCCACTTTATTTTAATGTTACATGAATAGGTACATGCGTTTGTGCTGTGGTAAATAAGTGTTCATGTGAAAATTATCTCTGAAACTGCATTGTGACTTCACTCATCTCCAAACTGAATGTTGTAAATCCAGGATTTAATTTTTTTATAGTGTTGCTTGGGATAATTGTAAAACAGGTGTTGGACAAAACGTTTACAACCTAAAATTGCATGGAAAACATCATAGAAGAAGGAATTTTACCTTTCTGACATTCTCTTTCAACATTTTTAAATTACTAAGTTTGTGGTTTGGTGAATGCACTCAGTTACCACAGTCAAAAAATTCAAATTAAAAAAAAGTGACTAAGTTCTAATAAGAATACATAAGTTGAATATAAAAATGTAATTACCTGATTTAAATGTGATTTAATTAAAAGCTAAATATATGTTTCATATAAACAAAGTGCTGTAAAATGTTGATAAATGCAAAACCATTATTAAAGAGAAATTAGTTATCATCAATAGGATATTTTGTAGTAGCTGGTCTCTTTAAATAATATACTTGAAAGACTGTGAATTATTAGTCACTGTTACACTAGAAGTAAAAACAAAAAAAAAATGTTGAGACTAATTTATGTATTTAATAAAAACATATTTAACAAGTTTTATTTAAATAAAAAACAGGTGTTATTTGAAATGTTTTTATTTTAGTTTAATAATGTTTATAAATTGTGGGTACATTTGATCTGAATCTTCCTTAATACTATAAAATGCATATGCATTTATATATGGTTAGTATTGGAGTAGAAGCACAAAAGTTTTGATCAAAAATATATTCATTAAACACAATATTCACTAGATATTATGCTAATTTAGGTAATTTCCTATTCAAAGCCATACATGTTTTCTATTATAGTTTTCATACGTTTATAATTCTGGAGATACTGATGAAATATTTTGCTTGATTACTAAACTTTGGTTGTTCTCGTTGTGGTTTGCTGTTAACACTATTGTCCTGAAATATGAAAAAGCTGGACAAATGTTTCTCCAACTCTTTTGTCAGCTTTGTTAATCTATGCTGTTATTCTGCATGCAGACATTTTTTACTGGAGATTTTCTCTAAGAAGTGTATTCAGTTTTAAATTTCGGCCAGTTGTAAAGGTATTTCAAAGTCATCCTTTGTAAGATGTAGCCAAAAAATACATGCTAAAATGTATAGAAAACAAATCGCAAGATATTACACAAAATTATTTAAATTAAATAAAAGTATACAAATGAAGTGAATAATACCTACCAACAATTTAAAAAGACCTAAAATAAATAGAGTTAGGGGACTGGAGCTCTAAAAAAGGGGAGCCATAATTTGTTATGCATCCTCATCTATAAGAAAATTGTCTTCATCTTTTCAATTACCTCTTAAAATAAACCAAAACAGCACAAAATTGAAAGTGATCTACTTTTCACGACGTACATATGTACATGTTAGATTATTAATAATTTATTAAATTGAAATATTTTATCCTAAAAAATATGGGCATTTTATAATGAAAATGTAATTTAAAAAGACATTGATTTTTTTTTTATATAAGCAAACCTGGCGACTACAGGTTGCCACGTTGCCAGATCAATGGGCGATTACTATTTCGAAAAAAATGGCATCCAAAATGGACTCCAATGTCGCGACCCCCTTAGATATACCAGCCCTGCTAAGAAAGAATCTAAGTGGTCTTTGGAATTTTGACAGTTACTCTGACTCATAACTCTGACAAACATAGAAACCAACCTTGAGATAGAATAAAGAGGAGACGCTATGACGATGCTAAAGTGTCCGAAGCTTTCCATTACACCTTTAGGTCATATGTCAAACTGAAGATAGCACAACCAGTCAGTTTTGCCGAGAATAAATGCTACTTTTTTAAAATAGCTTCACTTAATTGATATACAATTATTTTCATTCCATCAGTTTTCAAATGTA